ATCTTCAGGTGATAGTGTAATATTACTACACAAATAAGGAAAGTTACGATGGAAAAGCTGAAGTTATTTCGTTTGTCATGATCATACAGTTTAGTTGTAAGTTTGCCCATATCGTCTATAGTCAGTAAAAAATCCAAATATAAAACAAATGTGGCAGACTCTGTGGTGTCTTTTATTTTGAGTTCACTGAGATACAACTACAAATAACTTTTGGAAAATTTAAAATCTCAAAACGTTTTAAACATCAATAGCATCGAAACATATTTGATGTAACTAACTTTTGAAAAACAGTTTGATTTTAAATTTTCCAAAAGTTCTTTGTAGTTTTTGAGAATACACATTTGATTTACACCACTTCTCTAATATGCTGTAGCACAGTACGTCTGAAGTTTCTCCTGTACAGCAATTAATACTTTTGCGAATAGTAAAGATAGGGCTTGGTAGAGCAGTTGCTGGACCCGGCAATGTATTTTTGTAAGGATTTTTATGAAGTTAACGAATCCAGTATAGGTAGGGAAGATCGAACTCAATTTCATTGACTTTTAAAGACTGAGATGTGATTTAAACACACACAATTTCTTGTAAGATACCAAGTCTGCATGTAAAATACTTCTTATGAATATCGATATCATTGAAATTTAAAAACGGGGCGCCATAAAAAATACAAGACAGGTTTGTGCATAAAAGCGGGTACCCATCTAATAATTTCTATTATTCATTAATTAGACAATGATTTCAGTAATTACTTACAAGTTTGCTCAAATGCTTTGAATAAATGGGAAAATGACCGCAATTTGTCAAAGATTTCTTATTACGACATTAAAAAGACTATTTTAAGCAAATCACAAGGGAGTTTCTTTTAAACATGGCTTTTAGAGGAAGTTTAATAGATTCCCTGATTCAGCTTCATTAGGCAGCACACACTCAGTATAATGACACCTCCCTGACGTGTCCTTCCTGGACCGAACCTTACGGACAATTACAATAACTGTGATTTATACCTTCTTTCAGAAAAGCCTCCTAAATCTAAATCTTGTCAACTTTTTTTTTTTTCTTCCTGTATTTTTGTTACATCTAGAGAAGAAGATTAAGGCGGGAACCAGTCAGTTTCGGTTTTTTACACTCAAGATCTGTGAACGAACAATCATTTCATATCTTGAACCACGTGTTAAATTTTCAAGAACAAATTTAAACTTTGATTAAAAGACTCTTTCAGAACTGATACAAGTAATTTCCGCGCAGTTAAAAATCGCTGTAAGTTATTATTAGACATAATTTTAATGTAATATATAGAAGATGTTTAATGGATGTCGTGATGTCGCTAACGGTAGACATAAAGTAAAGGGTGATATATATATATATACTGTCTCCATCTCAGCAGATACCTCTTATCACCCCAATATAGTCTCGGGGAGCTGCGATAAAATGCCCTTTAATATAATATATCATAATTTTAACCCTCAAAACCAACTTAAATTTTCATTTCAGTATAGTATCGATGCCATTAATTCTGTGACTGGTAAGAAACATAGATTCATTTACTTCATCTGATTTCTTGGGCATTGTTGATTATCTCCGAAAAAAGAAAAAAATATCGGAAGTTAGCTTTTAGTGCGTTATTATAGCAAAACACCTACATCAATGTTTCGTTTCTGCAACATTATATGATGCCTTGTTGTTCTATAGTTGAGAGAGAGAGAGAGAGAGAGATGTCAAATATAACCCAGTTCCGTCATCAGTTGTAGTTGTTGATGCGAGTACAATTTGTTTTGATGTGTGTACTGGTTCAAATCGTGATATACTCGTAGGTATATAGTACATCGAACGGTTACAGATAATCACTGTAGCGAGTCTGGCGTAACCCGTCAGTACTCGCTTGGTCAGATAAGATCCCCTCAGATCTCTACCGTAAATACTACTCACTAATATACTACTCACAAAGCATACCAGCTTATCACCAGCTTGTGGAGAGGACTTATATAGGCAGTGCCTGCTGTCCAATCCAGTTATGTTTAATCATAATAAAATATTGTTTAAATGAAAAATACCAGCTTATCCCCCGGATCACAGGAACAAGTGAGGAGCAAATAGCGTCAATTGGAAGAGGCATAAATATATATATATATATATAATAAGCCTTGATCTGACGAACTTAGATATTTTTCAAATTTTCGGGTCTGAAGTAACTTTCGAATACTTACAAGCAATATATATTATAATTTTATCAACAATTATTGAATACTTACAAGCAATACATATTAAAATTTTATAAGTCATTTTACTATACTTACAAGCAATGCATATAATTTTATCAGCCATTTTTACAATACTTACAAGCAATATATATTATAATTTTATCAACCATTTTTGCAATACTTACAAGCAATACATATTATAATTTTATCAGTCATTTTTTACACACATTTGTAGAGAAGTATGTCGTGATTAACGAACACGTAAATCACTCTTGCAGTTGTAAGTTAAAGGATAAGGTACGATGAGGGCCAAATATGGTCCCTTATCGCAAAAATCAAAACTCAGTTTTATTGTGATAATCTAAATCAATACTTAGTCAACAATGACTCTGGCGTATAAGAAACACAGAGGTGTACCTGAAGGGGGTAGCCTAAAACATTTTTATGCCCCGCCATGAATATGGCCGGGGCATATAGTGTTTGTCATGTCCGTCTTCCGTCCTTCTGTCCTTCCGTCCTTCCGTCTGTCCTTCCGTCACACTTTGCGTTTAGCTCTGTTCAAAGCTCAATTTCAAAGAAACTACCCAAGATATTTTTATCAAACTTCATATGAGGTATTGATGAGAGCTATGCAACTGCATCAACATTTTTTTTACCTTGACCTTTCCTTTGACCTTGACCTGACTTTTCTTAAATTAGTGTTTAGCTCAGTTTTAAAGATACCATTCAAGACAGTGTAATCAAACTTCATATGTTGATACACACTGATGTAAGCTATTCAACTGCATCAATATTTTTTGACTTTGACCTTTCCTTTGACCTTGACCTCACTTTTCTTAAATTAGTGTTTAGCTCAGTTTTAAGATACCATTCAAGATAGTGTAATCAAACTTCATATGTTGATACATACTGATGTAAGCTATTCAACTGCATCAACATTTTTTGACCTTGACCTTTCTTTTGACCTTGACCTCACTTTTCTTAAATTAGTGTTTAGCTCAGTTTTCAAGATACCATTCAAGATAGTGTAATCAAACTTCATATGTTGATACATACTGATGTAAGCTATTCAACTGCATCAACATTTTTTGACCTTGACCTCACTTTTCTTAAATTAGTGTTTAGCTCAGTTTTAATGACACCATTCAAGATATTTTTAACAAACTTCATATGCTGATACATACTGATGAGAACTATTCAACTGCATTAATATTTTTTACCTTGACCTTTCCTTTGACCTTGACCTCATTTTCTTAAATAAGTTTTTAGCCCAGTTTTAAAGATACCATACAAGATAATGTTATCAAACTTCATATGCTGATACATACTGATGAGAGCTATTCAACTGCATCAACATTTTTTGACCTTGACCTTTCCTTTGACCTTGACCTCACTTTTCTTAAATTAATGTAAAACTTCATACGCTGATACATACTGATGTAAGCTATTCAACTGCATCAATATTTTTTCACCTTGACCTTTCCTTTGACCTTGACCTCACTTTTCTCAATTTGTGTTAAGGTATTCAATGTATAACGACCATATTTTGTACCAAAAAAATGCATGGTCCAATATTTTTAATCACGGTAGCATTTTGAAGGTGTTACCAAATAAAAATGCTCCACCAAAGGAATTTACAAAATTTTGATTATTTTCCACTTAATTGCACCTTGAATTTTACATTGAAGTCTATGGGCAGTGCATGTTTTTTAAGATATTGTAAAAAGTAATTTGAATTTCAAACAAATCTCTTGGTGAAAATATCATAAACTCTCTCTTTATTAATCTATAAAATAAAATGAATCATTTACCACAGAAATTTTGAGAAATTAAAAATTTTCTTATTTTAATCAAGGGGAGATAACTCTTCAAAAACTTTTAAGGTGCAAAGTGACCGCCGTCTTACTTGTAATCAGTCATGTGAATTTGGTTCATTTCACTTTAATGGTTTTCTAGCAATGCGTTTTTAAATAGTTTAAATTTATTCAAAATTGATAAAAATCCCTTCATTATACATTGAATACCTTAAAATGTTGCATTACTAATATACCCTCGGCGGGGCATTCATGTCCTATGGACATATTTCTAGTTTTTCTTCAAATTTCAACAATTTTTATTCATCAAATGTTATATTCCTCGTATTTTTGCAAAGAACGAAGCAATAACATTTTTATTTTTACAACTACAAGATGTTTCTGATACTAATGAATAAATATGTTAATTTAGCAGATTGGATAGCGTGCAATCTGTAATTTCTAAAGCATTAACTCCTTAAATAAATAAATAAATAAATGAAATATAGGAAGTTTTAAAAATAAAATACAGTTTATTTCCGGACCTTGCTGATTTGTATGTGTATCTCCTGATTCCATTTAAATCAAATATTATTTTAGGGCAGAACTAATAAAAAGTGTTTAATTATGAGGTTTTAATTCCTTTGTTCTCATCTGCATCATCCAAAATGGTCTCTGAAAGTTAGTACAAAAATTGATCAACATATACTTTTTCATATTCACAGAAGATGCATCTTTTTTCCCCAAAATACATGTATCAGAAAGTTGCTTTCGTGCAATATCTTTGACACAGAGATAGAACAACTCTTCTGAAGAGGGACACTCTCCTTCTCTCTGACAGTCACACATTTTTCCATTTAAGCATAGGAGATATTAATTATAAATGGCAGATTAATTGATGGCGTATCAGTCTCCGTTAGTGATGCTGATTTGATTACCTTTGTGTAAGGTTGTCTGACTTTAACATGACAACATAAATACTCTCACATGGTGACTATCCCTATCTTTACAGGTGCGCGCTCTGCTAACCTCCACGGATGACGTCCGGGTCGGTGCTGGAGTTTTACAGAAATATTTTTTGTGGACTAGTTAGCCATGCAATCTGGGTACTCTAAGCACCACTGCTACGCCGATTTCACCCATCGCTCATTCGGAGAATTCATCAAACTCAACAATGCGTCAGCTCTTCGATTGGCGCTGCTTGGTAAGTCCTCGGAGATTCTTCTTACATCAATACATGAGATAAACTATTAGGCGAAACCTTAAAATACTCATAGGTTTGAAAAGTACGCCTGTCCGAATTTTCTTACTAAAGAGCTACAGTTCTGCAGCTATCTTGTAGACCTATGGCACTGCTTTTAGTGGGAACTTGCATGTAATGCTTTTGTGTGTTAAGCATTCAATGAAATATTTTATTTGTAAGATTTTTTGGGGAATCAAGTTCAAAAAGGTTCAAGCATTGGATTTTAAAAAGCTGAAAAAGCGGATAGAAAAAAACTCCTGCCTGAAAGTTTTGTTCTGTATTTGATAGATATAAATTTACACCGCGATGTTGGTACAATGTATTTAAATTAGATAACCTCTCTCTCACTTCATTGTTTCTATAATCAGAAGAAATTCTTCTATTAATGACGTCAGCACAAGGCATTGGTCGAAAAGGGAAACCAAAAATGGCAACTGGGGTCCTAAGTAAAGGAAAGACAATCAATATGACGTCATTTGCAGACGACAAATAATCTGTTGTGTAAACCCTGATATGGAGCTGGGAACGAAGATTTGATTAGGATACCATTTGTAATGATAATGCTGAAGGCGGGGGCGTCTAGTTACAAATTATAAAAGTAAACTCGTGTCTTCCTTCACTGATACAGATTTTTCCATTTAAGGCTTCTCTCGTCTATAAATAAACCAATCAATCCTCTGTGATTGTTCCTTTATTATCAAATAAATCAATATGCTCTTGTATTCCATATTCAGAAAGAAAATGCATGACAGTACAATTAAAGATGAAAAAAAAATCATCATCAATGATCGCTTCATTATAACAAACGATGTCATTAATGGAGAATAATACGTACAGTGTATTGATATAAACTTTCAAACTCTGTTAGGGAGTCTCATTGGTCGTAGACAGAGCTGCAGTATCAAACTGTGAAAAATACGTAGTTCATCATAATAATAATGGACCAGAATCATACTGGACAGATGATTCTGTAGAGGATTAAGATTTTTTCTCATTCCAAGCAATATTACAAGTACATGTATCTAGTGAGGTATAGTAGATTCTGCTTGATGTTTTTTATGTTTAGAAGACAAATTTTCTATGTAATAAAGTCGCAGCAGAGGTTAATGTGGTTCAGTACCAATCTCAGGGTCAAAGGCCAAGGTCAACTCTATTGGTAATACTATATAAACATTGATTTTATTTAAAAAAAAACTAAACTGTGTTTTAGTTTATGATGATGAATAAATCATTTTTAACAGAGTGATTTCTTTCAAAATCAAAGTTTATAGTCAGGAGTGGTATTACAAGAATTTTAGAAGGTCAAGGTCAAAGATCTATAACTAAGTCAACCACGATAGAGAAATTACATTTCATCATGATATACCTGTTGTCTATGGGTAAAGTTCTAAGAGCCCCCACCCCACTCTACCCCCACCCCTCTCCTAAAACATAAACAATAGCTAAACAAAATTTTTGACGATCAGACGGACAGATAGGTTTCATCCATTCATAGATCGAATTCGCCAAAGATGACAGGTAATGTCAGTCTCCTAATAGATGACTGATCAATAGTTCAATGTCCCCTTAGAGCAGCATTCAGAATACCAAATAAATAAACCATGTACCGCCCCAAGTCAACCGTTTTTGTGTATATTTTGTTCTATGTGTAATAATCAATCTGCTCCTTAGTTAGTTTGTAATAAAATCAAGCAGACATCGAATTAAGCAGGTCTTCCTGCAGACTTTGTGATTCCATGTTTCCCCATGAATGTCTAGATACATGATTGTAAGCGCCGGCAGTGCCCTTATCAATGAAATAATGAACTCAGAAACGCCAATCATGTAATGCCGATTCCTTTGATAAACGTGTTATTGAATTAAATAATATAGACATCTGCAGAAAATACTGTGAATGCCATGAATATAGATGTAGACCTGTAGAGGAAGCCCGGTGTTACCAACGTAAAAAAAGAAGTATGTATTGTAAGATTGATTTTCTTGGAGGACAGTGGACATTTGAAGATACGCTGAAATAAGGCAGTATATATCTCTCTAAGTCTCATCGATTTCTTATCACATAAGATATTCTTATACCTATATGTGATTTATAATGATTAATTTTGCTTCCAACTTTAAGAAAGTATACAACTACCATTTTTTTGGCATGATTGTGGAGCGACCCCTTCCTGATACAAATAAATTCTGAGAATCTTTTATCTACGACGTACCTTAAAATTAGAAATAGAATTTTCTTTCGTCTGCATAATCAGTGAGTGAAAGCTATAAAGATTGAACAATAATCCCAAGAAGCTTGACCTATTCCTTGTAATTTAAAAAAAAAAAAAACAAGTTTATGAAACACTGATGCCCCGTATGATAGCGATGACCAAATTTATATATTCTCAAATGCAAGTCAAACTCCAAGGTCAAGAGGTAAAAAATGTTGGTACCTAAAGAAAGGTTCTTGTCTCAAGAATACATGTGAAATATGAAATCCCTAGCATCAATCGTTCAAAAGTTATGGACAAGAGTAAGATTTGGTAAAATTTTGAAAGAAGTGGGTCAATTTCCAAGGCCCAAAGGTCAAATATGTTCGTATCCAAAGAAAAGTTCTCTCACAAGGAATATTCCTGAAATTTGAAAGCCTTAGTTCCAACCAGTCAAATGCTATCGGCAATGTTAAAATTTTTGGGGACAAAGAAACAGATAAAGAGAGAGACAGACGGACAAACCCAAAACCTATATGCTCCCGAATCTTCGATTACGGGGGCATAAAAATAAAATCAGATTCAATTCAAACAACTTGATAGCTATGGTAGGATCCATAGTTGTTGTAGATATAGGATATCGTTAAAAATTTGTAGTGCCACCTAAAAGAGGAGAGGAAAAAAGAAACTTAAACCACATGAACTTTGGTATCGTACATTCATAACTTTCAAAACAGACTGTTTCAATTCCGTCCAGATACGGGAAAATTCTAAAACAAAACTAAGACTTAGTACTGTAAACAATTGGCATTGTCTAAAAAAACAATGTCTGCAAAATTTTGGAGATTGATTTTAAAAATTGATTTGCCCTGGCTTGTTTACCGTTGGTCGTGTGAATTGTGTATTCTACTGCCTAGAAGGCTGTAATCAATGGACGAAGATTAAACTGAGGGAGAAAATTGTTATCTAGCAAGTCGCAAAATGAGCTTTAGATTTCATACCAATAATTTATAAGGCTTATACTTTTTTATATGCTGATTGTGAAATTTATTAATTATAAGGCATATAATGCAACAATGTGACATTTAAGTCGAGAATTGATACATGATTCGGTTCTCGTTTATAGGCATAGAATAGACATAGGAAAAAGTACTTCTAGAAGCACTTGTTAAAATTCGCCGACAGGTTTTACTAAAAAAGCGAATACTTCATTTCATGAAATCTAAATTTAATTTTAAATATTCATTTTTAATTTAGAGTTTTAGTACAGTTTTAGTACAGTGCTCCTTTTGTGAATATTTTAAAATGATCAATCATTTACCGATATCGATCTTAGTGATATTCTATATACTCCTCAGAGAATTGTCAGAATTGATTAATCTTGAGTCACCAGAAAACAGGTGACAGGAGACAATAGATATTTGAGTATGAGTAAAAAAAAACCTGCTTTAGAGTGATTTTTTTTTTTGGTTACTTGAGTCATCACTCAAGTGTCACACATTTTCAGTTCTTTGTCCTGGAACTGCTGAACCAAGTTTTGTATACAGCACCTATGGGTAAAGTACAAAAAAAAAATGAATTTCATAGCCTCTGCTTCTCTGGGGCCTGCGGGGCCAAACCGACTTATTATTCTTTACTCATGGATATCGATCAGTTAAACTATTTGCATGATTATAATGAGCAATAAGCCCTGTACAAATATTGTGAACTTCATGGCCGCTAAGGTTAAGGCTCAGGTGCTGGTGGTCATATTTATAATTAGAAAATGTATTATATCTTAGAAAACCTTCCTTTTTACTCATAGAAATCTAGTAGGCGAGCGGTTTCCACGATTATAATCAGAACGCGACCTTTAATTCATGGCCCCGGGCTAGTTCAGGGGTCAGGCTCCAGGTTTGGGCTAAGTTGCTCATATATTGAAAATGCATTATATTTTGGAAATTCTTCTTTACTAATGGGCATTCAGCAGGCAAACTGTATTTCCATGATTATATTAAACACTTAGGCGAAATTCTTGGCCCTACCGGCACATGGCTCAGGTCCCAGGGTGGGGCTTAGTCGGTCGTATATTGAAAACTCAACCCAGAATATATTTTTTGAAAATCTTTTTCAGATGGCAAATTGTTGGCATGATTATCATGAGCAGCTAGCTCTCTCTGCAAAAATTATATAAAGTTCATGTCTTTGGGTCCTATGATGAGGCTCTAGGAAGGGGCCAAGTCATATATTGAAGTTAAAATATAAATGATGCAGTGTACCATATATCATTACTCCTGTTACAAACTGCATAAATATGATAATAAAGTCCTCTCCTAGCTGTATAATTTCTTGTCACATGAGAAGTTTCTGTTCTAGGTGGGTCTAATGTGGTCATAGTCTTGAGAAACTCATAATACTGGGGGAGGGGGGGGGGGGGGGGAGAGAGGCCCACTTGCCTCTTTTTTCAACAGACAACGATGTTTGGGATAATTTTGACCTTGACCTATCTTTGTCTACGCATACTCTCCTCTTGACTAGTCTACACATCGTCTTCTTCATCCAAACCTATAAACCGCAAATTACGACCATCAGTTTGATGCTGTATTTTGTTTATATGTAACTATAATGCATTTGTGAAATGAATTGGCAGTTGAATATATATGATATTGAGAATATCTTAATGAAAGACAAAATATTAACAAGTAATCTCCAAACATTTTAACTAATGGGATTATAAACCCATAAAATTAATTCAGTCGCGTCGATGAACAGCAGCATCAACGTTACATGACC